TAGGAAGTAGTGAAAGTTTTGAACCTCTCCTGTCCCGCTGTGTCCCAAATCTGAAGTCTAATGACTTTTCCGTTTAGCAGAAGTGTCTTGAGTTTGAAGTCGACTCCAATCGTATAAATATATGACTTTCTGAACGGTTCGCCTGAATATCGCATTATTATACTTGATTTGCCGACACCTGAGTTACCGATTATCACTAATTTCAGTACTAATGCAGTGCTCGTGGAGTAATCGTCAGGCATTTTGACAATTTTATGACAATTTATTGTGATTACTAATTAATTAAATAATACAATTAAGTATAATGTAATGCGATAAGAATCTTAAGTACGTAAAAATGTGACAATTTTTTAGCGGTTTTAAATTTCTCTTAATTGGATATTATGACAAGCTATTTGATTTCAAGCATTAGTCACAAATTATATTTGCTTATAATACCTAGGTTTTGAGTATACATGTTAAATAAATAACACAATATTCTAGTAAACTAAATAATTTATTACATAATTAAAACAAAATGTTAATAATTGTCTATAATGATTACTTAAATAAGATTTTTATTTAAAAAAATAAAATGTCTTTTACATTACTTATTTATCTGCAAAACGGTTTTCAAAGTTATCAAATTACTATAAATCAAGAATTTATGAACAATTTATTTTATTCAATTAGTTTAATTTAACATGGTTAATCATCTATACAATATAATGCATGATTTATCATACAGTATAAATAAACGCACAAATATTATATAAAACATAAACATACAAAATAAATAAATTACTGAAAAAATAGTAAAAATAACTATAATTAATGTCTCATAAAAATAATGATGTATTTAATACAAGGATTAGTGAGGAATTAACGATGAAGTCCTACCAAACGGAACATTTATTCGTGGGATTCATGAGTGAACTACCGATCGGGCAATTGAATGATTTGGAGAAATCCAGTGAATTGGAAAGTACTCCTATTATCCTGGATATAAATCACAAAATATGCTTTGTATCAAATTGTGTTTAGTTTGGTTCACTTGATTATAACAAATGTTAAGATACAATTATATAATCTACACTATATTATACATATTACCGCATATTACCAAATATTAGATTAATGCAATAATGTATGATGCCAATTATGGAAATTACAGAAATACAAATTGGTAATTAAGATAATTATACAAAAGTGTTGACTAGCAAATACCAATGACCCAGATAATAATTTTATTTTTGAAAATACTAAATTCTGACATAAGCTTCATTTTTGTCAAATTTTAAACAAAAGATGTTACAAAAAATTAACATAATTTAAAAATTATGTTTACTCATGAGTGAATCATAAATTATGCATTAATGCAATAATTGAGTCAATTAAGCGAAACTAAAGCCAATGGCAGATGTATTAATTGCAATGTAATTACTAATTAGTAATTACTGTTACGATATAATAGGAGTAAACAATACCTGTATTTACTGGGACTGTGTGCATCGATTTCAATCATAAGCTTCAAGTGCTCTGAACTCTCTTTACTGCACGACTGTATGCCATAACTGATCCAAAATAGCTGTTCCGCACTGTATTTAAGTCCCGGTAGTATTTGTTTGGACTGTGTGCATCGATTTCAATCATAAGCTTCAAGTGCTCTGAACTCTCTTTACTGCACGACTGTATGCCATAACTGATCCAAAATAGCTGTTCCGCACTGTATTTAAGTCCCGGTAGTATTTGTTCAGGGCCGTTATTCTTGACATAGGTCTGGTAGGCTCTGAACGCCTGCTTAATGCCCCCATTGTCGGCCACATTTTCACCCTGAGTATTGATTCCGTTCAGATTCATGGCAACGGCATCCACGGTGTAGTTGCTGTATTGGTCGATAATACACTGGGACTTCAGTTTGAACTTCTGATCCGTAGACTCATCCCACCAGTTGTTCACCTGACCCTTCAGGTCAAACTGTCTGCCCGTGTCCTACAATTAGGCAATTTTAGTTGAATGCATACAAAACCAAACATTTTCTATGAAACTTGCATCAAATCCATGGGTAAGTTCATGACCGGCCACTTCGCCAATAGTCCCGTAATTCAAGTAACTATAAAATATACGTTTGTATTGAATGTCATAATACGGTACGAATTGAAAGACAAATACAAATGAGTGAATACTTCGGTCTATTCTTGTTATAGAAGACCCCCTGAAGAATGCCGGCCGGTATGACCATTGCGTTCTCCTGTGGGAAGTAATAGGCGTTCACTTCTGTCACCTCAGCGTATTTGCGCCAACTTTGTTGCCATTCATTCAATTCAATCACATATATTAAGATAAATGCAATACAAATAGTCTTTAAATTCTCACTCATTTTTGTTGTTAGGTTCTCGGAGTTGATTGAATTGATAGTCTGTTAACCACTTGTAAGTATTGATACGGTTTTGAAAGTAGTTGTCTTTAGTTATGTGTAGCTATAAATAGTTATGTTTAATACTAAAGTTTTAACATTAAATGGTTTGTCAATTATTGTAACTTTACATCTTTATAATAGTTGTTAATTTTCTTGTCGTCCATCAATTCGGAGGGAAAGCCTACTTTGAGTTCCATGTTTTGTAATTTATCCAATGCATGGCTTAATGTGTTTGTCTCCATCCAATCGATTTCGTGTAATATTCCTTCAAATTCTGTTTTAATATTCTTTACGATATCTAAAGTCTTTCCAAAACAATTAGATTATTTAAAATTAAACAGAATATTATCAATAAACATTATATTCATACCATTTGTTTGTTGTCATTATTAAAATATCTGTTGATATAAAGGTTTGACAGTCCGATGCCAACCGCTGATTGCACGATAGAGACACACTGTTCCCAACGGGGCTCCTGACGCTGTTTGCCCACCACTTTGGCCTCGTATTCAGTCTCAAGATTTCTCCATTTGGCACCCAATGAACCAATCTTTGAGAATAGGANTATAAAGGTTTGACAGTCCGATGCCAACCGCCGATTGCACGATAGAGACACACTGTTCCCAACGGGGCTCCTGACGCTGTTTGCCCACCACTTTGGCCTCGTATTCAGTCTCAAGATTTCTCCATTTGGCACCCAATGAACCAATCTTTGAGAATAGGATTCTCCATAATATATAATTGGCTAAAGTTCTGCACAATTTATATAAATAAAAATTATATGTTTTAATTAGATTAAAGAAATAAAATTATGTATTTTGCAAATAATTACCGTTTCTTAGTTTGAGGTAATATTAAATCCAGAGATTTCATGAATTTTGTGTCAATCACTACAATCTCTTCGTCTTTGTGTATGGGTTTAGTCGTGAAGTTATTAATTAATGACATCCAATCTGTCTGTAGATTCGTTGCATTCATTAAACTCACATTCAATACAAGTTTTGATCTTAAGTTTAAATTAATTAAAAGCGAAATAAATAAAAATACAAACATTGGGAGCGATTTGATTCAACTCATGGAAAGTCATCTTATTGTAGAGTAAACTCATATTACGTCTCTCTTCCTTCGCCAATGAATACTGCATTTGAAAGCAATTAAATTTAAGTCACAAACTCAAACATTTCAATGAATACATTTGCCAGAAGTGTCTCAAACTCCAAGACTTCCATCATTTGCTTTTTAGCCGTATTCTGTTGGCCACCCAATAGTACCGCGCTTTTCACCATCAGATCATAATAAGCGGCGACCGACGAGTCGTTCATACCTTTCATGAGTAGATCCCTATCAAAGAGACCCAACGATGGCTGATCTAACTGTTTGGTGGCATTTGTGTTAAT